TTGTTATCTACGAACTAGCCATATTTTCTTTTGGGTTCAATGCAGCTCTAAGAGACACATTCTATTTCTACCTCCATGGCCTCTGTGTCCTACCTGTAAATCCCAGGTCTAGATTCCATCTCATACTTTTCCATCGATGTGCCCACATTGGCCTAGGACCATGCTGAAAGCAACACCAGGAGCAAGGACACATACTTCAAATGTCTTGTTTGTTTTTCTCAACAATTCATATCAAGTTTGCATTCTACTAGTAATGTACATGTGCATGTCTTGGCCTAAAACAATCGTATTCTTTCTCCCCTGCAGCTCTGACCAAAATGGCAGCTCCAGGAAGATAAATAAGGCTCCAGGTTTATTTATCAGCTTTACCTGGCCCAGGGCACACATGTCCACAGGATGACCTTGGAGCTGGGCTCTGAGATCCTGTGGCTCTCAATCCCAAGGAAGGCTCATCATGCAGGTTCCCTAGGAAGAGGCTCCCAGCTCTCTTACCCCCTGTGGCTCTGAAGGGCACCAAACAGACCCTGCTGTGAGCTCTGCCTGGCCTGCACCCAGGCCAGGCACCCTCGCCACCACCCCCCAAAGCCAGTAAGTCATCCTTGAATTAATCAAAGGCTTGCACTGGTCTGAACTCACCAGGGGCCTCCTCCAGCGGCCACTTTGTGTTTGGTAGATTAATTGCAGCTGGGGGAGGGGAGAAAATCCATTTTTAGAAAATCATTACTTTCAGAAAGAGAGGGGGGCCCTTCTGGTTGGAGAAAACTGCTGAGCTGGCAACTCCGGCCTGCTGCTCGCGCCAGGAAACCCGGGACTGTACAGGCTGCTCCCTACTCAGCGGGCACTGCCTGGGGGCCCTTGCCTCCTCCCCCAGAGGCCAGGGTACCCCAGCCCTCCTGCCCTGGCTGCTGCTTCCTGCTCTGGCCTGGGCTCAGTATTTTGCTGGTGCCCTGAGCAGGAAGGGGTCACCCCAATATTGACCACCCCCCACTGCCAGTTGGCTTAGTTGACTATCTTCTCTCGGTTCACTTGCTTAATGACACGCTGAGGGCACTGTCAGCTGCTGACTGCGGCTGCAGGGGGAGAAGAAGGTTGCGGATCCCTGATCACTGCTGCCTTGAATGGAGCATCTAGAAGATTAAACAAGTGAAATTGCCATCTTTGTAGGTCAAAATGGTCAGATATTAGCAATCCCACGTGGTTCAACCTAATTATCATACGGCCAGCTCTTCAGATGTATTTTTCTCATTAATCCTCTTCTTGGCCCCATGAGTCAGGTGTAATGCCCATTTTATGTTTTGGAAATTGAGGTTCAGAGAGCTTAAGTGACTTGCCAAAGTGACTACAGTACTCAAAGCCTGATCTATATGACTCCAAAACCCAGGACAGTGTCTCATATCCTACTTCATGTCAGACCCCCAACCCTACCTGCCCAACACTTGTCGGTCACGAGCTGTGCTAGCTAGCACTGTAGCACTGACAACACAGGCTGACAGAAAGCTCCTTCGCAGTCTGGGTGTGGGAAGTGTGACTGACCCATCAGGAAGTCTGCATTTACTGTGGGCTTGGGTGCAATTCCAGCCTGCCCCGCAGGCTGCGTGTGGGTGTCCTTGGCAGATCCCTCACCTGTTGGAGGGTCTGGCTATTCCTGAGTCAGCCAAGGCCTGCCTGCTTTGTGCCGCAGTGGGGCCACAGGTGGAAGAACACCTGGGAGGCGCTCGGTGCCCACAAACACGCACAGACATCGGGCATTGTTTCTATTGCTCCGCAATCAGATGAGCTCGGTCCTTCCAAACTTGTTTTAGAGAAAACACATGCCCAGCAGAGTCACTCCTTGATTCAGCCCTGCTCATAGAGATTAGACAGCACAGAAGTGATGAAATCTGACACTACTACTCACCAGCTGGAGGACCTTGCGCAACTCTTGGAACCTCAGTTTCTTCATCTATAGAATGGGGCTGATGATAATGGTACTTTAAGGATGGTTGTAAGGATTACGTGGGACCATCCCAACGCAAAGGGCTTAGAACACTGACTAGCACATAGTCAGAACACAGTCAATGATGGTTATTATTATTCCCAGTCTAAACTAAGCCCACAGTTCTGCCTCGCCCTCCTTAGTTCATGGGACAAACCATCTGAGCATTGCGCCAGGAATTGCTAGGACAGTGGATTCTAAGTGGGGCCTCATCTGAGACCGCAGAGAGCCAAAAGCTTGGAGTTCAGTGGGAATGACAGAATCCTATACCATCGATGTTTCTTTAGGGCAGAAACTTTTTTAAAGGGGGGAGGCTTCCCGGAGGAGGTGTGGCCTGATTTGCATCCTGAAGGATAAAGAGGAAATAGCCAATTGAAGAAAAAGCCAGAAAGCACTTGCTTGGAAGCACATGAGCAAGATGTGTTTGGGGAACTGCAAGTCACCCTGCATGCCTGAGCCCGAGGGTCTGCGTGTGCGGGGGGTGGGGTGAGAGCAGGGAGCCGTTAAAGGGTGAGGTTGACAGAGGCAGGGGCTGAAAGGCCACTTGGAGCAGAGGAAGACCCAGAAGACACTGGAAATCCCTGAACTAAATCTTTTTGGTGGGGCTGGAAAAAGAGAACATATATGAGAAAAATTTGCACTTTGTAATTATGGATTGAATGGGTTTTGTTTCGCGATGGGGGATGGGGCAAAGGAGATGGGAGAATCCAAGTTTCTGGTTGGGGCAGCTGAGATATCCCCCAGGTGAGGGATATGAAGCCACCAGAGTGATGTTGCTGCTCAGGGAGAGGGCAGAACCTTATAAGACACCCCCATGTTTTAGGGGTGAACTGAGAGAGGAAGGAGGAGAATCAGGAGGCAAGAAAACTTCCTTCCAGTGGCCCTTCTCTCCCTCCACTAATCCAAACTGCACCTGGCCTGGAAATTCCCTCCTCTTTGAGTCCCACGTGGTCCCACATTCTGCCTGTGCCGTGTGGGCACTACCCTACGGCACCACCGAGGGCAGGGGCCCCTGCAGCACAGGCCTGCACATAGGAGGCGCCCAGGGGTGCCTGTGGGTGACAGCCACTCTGGCCAGGTGAGGAGTGTCAGCTACCAGCAAACAACTGGCTTTCCCTAAGCGTTCCTCTTTTCCTGCCCACCCAGAGCCAGCCACTCCACCAGGATCCACAGCCCTCACCCCAATTCCAACCTGTTGAGGCTGAACGTCAAGTCCGGATAATGCAGGGGGGCATAAAGGTACTGCTGCCACAGCTCCCTCCTCCCAAACCCAGAGGCCCAGCGCCAACAGCAAGGCCCGGAAGCAGCATGTTGGCCTACCTTTTCCCAGTTTCGAGTTGTGAGACCGGCACCACACCGGATTCCATCAAATAAACATCTTTACAGGGAATGGACGGAGAGGCAAGAACCACTGAACCCCGAGTACCATCCTGATCTCCCTAAGCACTTCCTCCTGAGTGACCTTGAGCAAGTCTTTATACCTCTCAAAGCCTCCATTTTTGCAGAGTCCTAATGAGGATTAAATTAACTCCCTTAAACGCTTAGCATCATGCCTGGCACCTAGTGAAGCATTCAATGAATGGTAGCTGTTATTATTATTAAAGAGCTTCCTGGCATGCTGATGCAAGTCAGAGCAAACTGAAATGACTTTGACAGCTCCCTAATGTAACACTTCCCACCCCCACCCCTCCTCCACCCCTACCACACTGGTGAACATCCTCTCAGGTGTTTTCCAGAGATGAGATTTTACACTTATTCTGGGTTGCAGGATGAGAATAAATGGAGGCAGGTTTCAGTTCAACTGAGAAAAAGCAAATAGCTGTTTTGATAGGTAGTGATTTCCCCGTCACCTCATGTGAACGAAATGAACAAGCTGGCCTCGAGGATCATTGGGCACCAATGCCCTGGAGTATGAAGACGTATTAATATTTCTTGAAGAACAGTTGTATTGGAAGTCTCTTGAATGAAATGGTGGTGCCAGTAGGCCATAGTGCTTTGTGTCACTATCTGGCAAAATAATTGGCAATCTTACTTTGGCCCTCCAAAAACAGTTTTTGGGAATTGTATCAGTTTGTAACATCCAAAGTCTTAACCTCCACTTCAAAGAGACCCCTTTCCTGGGTCTAAGGTTCAAGAACCCCTGACACCGACCCCCGCACAGCTTGGACGCATCTCTTGTGCAAACAAGTCCTTGACTCTAAAATGTGCCTCAGATCAACCACGGAAATCCCAGGGGCAAGTACTGAAGGCGCTTTACCAGTACATGCCATCGGGGCTGAGCTGGGTGAGGGGACTGGACAACTGTCACTTCAAGAGTTCAGTTAGGTGGGAGAGGAGACTGCAGCGCAGAACCTGGACTCGGCGCCCTCTCTGGCCATCACCTCCTGGAGCACCTGGTGCAGAACTTGGGAGGAACGTAAGAGGGAGACTGATCCCCCCACCCACCAATATGCAACCTCCCCGCCCTAGTCTTCCCTCCAATGCTTCAGCCCTCGTGGAAACCTGTCTTGGAATTCAGTGTGGCAGTGACCTTGCTCTGGAAAAGGCACAGCGGTTTCAGGATTTAATGCCAAGTGAGGAGTTAGCAAGCAGGAACGGATGGATGGACCCAGGTTCTTGTGACCACATCTCCCCATCCTGTCTGCCAGTGCAACCTCCTTCCCAATCACCCAGAAAATGAAATCCTCCTTTTCTCAACTTTTCAAGCTTTGAAAAATCACCCCACTTTTTATAACTAAGGGCTCCCTGGGGTTGACACCATTACAAATTCAGACACCCAGCCAGCTAGACCCAAGTGCCACGCCTAACAGGAAGGCGGGTTGTGTGTAGCCACGGGTCTTTCTAGCACACAGGGAACAGATGCTGCAAGGGCAGGCTCTTCTGGACGTCCCTTGCGCGGTCCACCTCCCCTTCCTCCTCAACCAAGCACCAAGCCGGGGAGACACCAACTCTCCCAGTTTCTGATGGATGCCCTGGCCTTCTCTCCTCCCACCAGAAGAAAAAGGAGCTGGAGGACAACATAGAATCAAGTATACATTTTAAAAATTGTTTAATGGAACATAAACTCCTTTAGAAAAACATTCAGCCAGGTGATAACACCCATAGAAAAAAACACCAATCTTGTGTTTATCTTTTTTAATTTGGCATTTGTTATTTGCATTTATATTAAAGCAAAGTGCATCTTTTCTTTATTTTTCTTGTTTATACACATTGCACAATACATAAATAATGATGCTTATAAAACGTCTTTATATTTACAAGTAATAATATATTTATATATAACATAAAATACATTTTTTTCTTTAATAAATCTCAGATTTTTTTTTTTCAGGAGTCCTTTCTCAAAGCACTACAATGCTAAATTTCCAATGAGAATGCTTCTCTTGTTCATTTAAACCTTTGTAGTTAGAAAAATAGCTTATGTTAAAGTCTAAACATGCTCATTGAGCTAAGAGCAGTGTCAACATATCATACGAGTGTATGAGTTGTAGAAGAAATGAAAGAAGAGTTAGGTGTCAGCCCAGGATGGTACCTTGGGTTATGATGGACCGAATCCTTCTTGGCGGGAAGGGGGGCTGCTCCCCTCGCTGGTCTAACAGCAGAACTCAACACACAGGTTGCAGAGGGGAGGAAAGTGCTGAGCTGGTTTTCTGAGTCCGGGAAAAACCTGATGTAACCAAGGCAGGGGAGAGGCCGAGGGGCCTGAGAGGGCACTGGGTGAGCAATACTGCAGCCCCCAGGAAGCCCATCTCGGAGACATCCAGGAGCAGGTGGCCAAAAAAGAAAGACAGGACGATGGCAGCAGGGTGGCTGGAGGGAGGGGAGTAAGACAAGCTTAAGAACAACTGGTTCTGGTTCAGCCTCTTGCAGGGTGGCTTCTAAGAAGCCTGTGGACAGGCCCTGTCCTAGAAGGGGGGTGGGGGGTGGGGCGGCTTCCTCAGGCTGGAGGCAGAGCCTCGCTTCTGGCAGCTGCCGGGACACCCATGGCCAGCTTGCCTGGGTACTGCCTCTGCCCCGCTGAGCATGTCCAAAGGGCAAGACAGACACAGCCGGGGAGTGCAGAGCTCTCAGCAGGAGACATCCGTAAGAGACACGCAGCACGCTGCTTCCCCCATCTGTCGTTCACGTACACACAGACGCACAGACTCACAGACGCACGCACGCACGCACGCACGCACACATGCCCTGACAAGTGAACCGAGAACCCAAAGTTAGGGTCTGCTCCCCATTCATACACCGTGTTTGGTGGTACTGATTTTTGCTTCTCCTTGTCATATGGGGGTGTCCTGCCAAACTATACAACACCCCAAACCCTGACAATTATTTTCATAAGCTATTTCTCAAAGAACAAAACAAAACAGAACATAAACAAGAATGACAAGAAAAGGCGGGGGGAGGGCGGGGAGGAAAAAAACAATGACCGAAGAGTCTGCATGAAAAGCAAGCACTCAGGAGGAAAATATTAGCAGCAAAGTAGTTTGGACTGGGCCCACTCGGCTCACGCTCTGTCCTCTCCCCACGCGGCTACCGGCTGTTGAAGATGACCTCCAACCAGCACGGGCAGCTGCTGATGAACTGGCGGGTGTAGCACTGGCCCCAGCCCTTCACGAAGCTGATCTGCACAGTGAAGCCAGTCCACGGCTGCTGCATGAACTCATGGTCGTTGGGCCGCTGCAGGCTGTACGCTTTCTCGTAGTCAAAAGCCTTGATGGAGAAACCGGGGAACACTTTGTGTACCAACAGCGTCCTGGAGTCCGGGTTGTCCAGTGTGGCCGACTTGATGAAGATGGGGTAACTGCTGCGGTTGTACACCCACACGCCATCCACTTCCCGCGTGAGCTGGATGCCGCAGCCGATTTTGCTCCGTACTTTCTGCACCAGCTGACTCCTGTTGTCCGAACTGAGCTGTCCGAGGCAAAAGCCATTCCCCTGAGGTAGATCATAGAAGATGTCCAGGGAGGGCTCCTGGACACAGTAGAGCCTCCCCACTCTCGTCTTCTCCTCCCAGTATGCCACCACGCACCAGTGTGACCGATCCCCAGGCTCCAGAAGAAGTTGGGAATCTACAAAACAAAACAGCGGACAGGGTTGGTGGCGATGGGGACTGGCTTTTCCTCATCCTTCTGGAATACAAGCACATACACACCGACCCCCACAACCAGCTCATCCCTCAGTACAAGATGGAAGGCGGAGGGAGATGATGGTGCTGCATATGCTGCAGCCTCTACCGTCCTCCCACTGGGGCCGAGATATCTCGACCCACTGATTCAAGGGCCCTGCCTTTAAGCATGGGGTTCACTGGGGTGCCTCTTCCTGCCACTCCCTTCATCCTGTCAGGCACCCAAGACACCAGGACATGTGCCCACCTGGCCGGCCAGTCTGGTTTTAAAGCTAGAAAAGGCCTTGCGCATGGCCTAGAATTAGTCCTTTAAACTGGATGGCACCTTGAAGGCCAGCTGCTCTAGGTCCTGGTCATTCTGATGAGAAAACCAGTCCCCAGAGGATGGCCCAGCCAGACCTAGAACCCAGGTCTCCAGACTCTAGGACCACCTGTTATACAATCTCTGTGCTCATCACCCAGTTCTTAGATTAGCGACTTGGTCATAAGAGAGTGCTATCTGGTAAAAATTAAATGGGGGTGGTTTGGGGCAAAAACCTTCCTAATAGATAAACAACTCTCAGTGTGTCTGTCAGCAGCAGCTCTGCACACAAAGGGTGAATTCATGTCAAAATGCCAAATCACAACACGCAGATTGGTGTTATCCCAGGCTACCCCTTAAGGAAACTTCCTCCAGCCCAGACAGACGATTATGTGTCTAAAATGGGGTCAGCTACCCTTAAAGGGCCCTTCTCTTTCCTCACCCCCCTCCTCCGCCCCCCCAGCATCTAGTCTCCCGCCCAGCCCCCTCCACCCTCCCTCCCCTGGAGGCCCAGTCCCAGCTTTCCCACACGAAGCCTGGGAGACTGCAGTAACACTGGTCGGGTGATTTTCCTAAACAGGCGCACAGAGGTCTTTAAAAAGGGGACACAGGGAAGGAAAGGGAGCCCCTGCCGCTGGCATACCAACTCCTCCTTAAGCTGGAGCCAGCGGGGCAGGCTTCAGACTGGGAACCATAAATCTCCCCAGCCGGGCCAGGCTGCATGGCCAGGCTGCAGGAACGCTGTGGTTTGTGGTGGCAGGGCGGAGACCGGAAGTCTTGTATTTGTTAACAAAAATGGGGAAAGGCAGGGGGGAGAGCCAGCGGCAGAGGCCTCCTCCTGCCCTCCCCCCAGCCCTCACTTCTCACTTTCTGGGGGGCTTGGGGCACGAAGGTGGGGATTGGCTGTGAGATGTCTTTTGATGTGTCTGGCCTTCTCGATTTGGGGAACAACTGAGCTTGGAGAGGGGATGGCGATGGGCTCTACAGCGTGGTGGCCGAGAGAGGAGGAGGGCTGGGGGCCCCGCGCCTGCTGCCCCCGCAGGCTGGGTAACCCAGTGCAGCTCAGCACAGAACGCCTTCCGACGTTCACAGGCATGTCGGGACCTGGGAACCAGTCAGTTCCGTGAACTTTTTTTTTTTAAAGCAGCAGCCAGTCTTGCATGGAGGTGTCCCGTAAGTCAGTATACACATGTGCACTGTGACCCACGGAGGCAGCCACACACACACACCCTGAGTGGCTGTCTCCTCGACACCCTACCCGGCCTTCTCAAATGCCTGCCCGGACAGCTACGTTAACATGGAGAGCTGAGGGCTCATTCTTTCCCTCGATCCCCACTCCACCAAAAATCGACCCCCAGAAAATGGGCCTGCCACCCTCAGCACACATGCATCTATAAAGCACAAGTGTGAAAGAGGCCGTGCGTGTCCAGGAGTGTGAGCACACAAGTGAGTGTGTTTACGTGCGCGCACACTAGAACATAAGGGAGAACGAGAGGGGCAAGGGTTCCGAGCAGAAGGTGACTCATCAGGCATTGACTTGTTTCTGCAGAGTCTCCATCAACTGCTAATAAACTCGTGAGTGCTGGCAATCTTTGAACTTTCTTGCGAGGGAGTCCAGCTCTGAAGGCTGCAGCAAAGGCCCACGACATCCCCGTAAATAAGACCGCTCCGGTGTGCAAGTGTGCCGCGGGAGAAAGCCCTCTTCTGGAAGGCTCAGGGCGCCCTGCCTCTGTGTGTGTGTGTGTGTGTGTGTGTGTGTGCGTGTGTGTGTGTGCGCGCGCGCGCATGTGTGGCGGGGAGTGGGGGGGGGATGTTTTGAAATGTAAGAAGTTCTCCCTTATTATCCCAACTCCGGACAACAAGCCTGGCCTGGAAAGGAAGACTCAGGGAGTCGCTGGGCGGGAGGCGGAGGAGACCCTCAGCGGAGCCTCACAATACTTTGTTTCATGGAGCCCGGCCGCCCTGAAACCTGGCACCCGCTGTCAGGGAGGAGGAGGAGGAGGAGGAGGTGCGAGGTGGGGTGGGGGCCTGGGATCCAGTTGTCCGTGCCAGGCCCACCAGCAAGGGGTGTGGGGGCTGCGTCTGCCCTTCGGGCCTCTGGGGGCAGAGGAAACTGGGCGGGGGCTGGGGCCTGAGGTCGACTGGACACGGCCCAGCGCCCTGAGCGGGGAGAGGGGGGAGCATTCTGGCGGGTCTCTCTTTCATCTGTGCAGCCCGCCAGTCCACCCAGCAATTTGCTGCCAGACATGCCTGGAAAAAGCCTTTTTCTGTTGAGGTTAATGGCCCAGCCCAGATAAACGGCAGCGTGTGGGTGTCCCTGCGTGTGAAGAAGGCCCCTGAAAACCCACTAGGTGCCCTAATCTGGCATAGCAGGATCCTTGCCTGCTCCCCAGTCCCCACTCCCCGTGGCACCCCAGGGCCTCCCAGTGCTGATACTCCTTCTCCTCACAGCTCCTGGACTATCTCCGAGGACAAAAACAGGCTCTCCAGAAAAACCATCGCAACAACGAGGGCGCCTTCAATGCATCACACTTCTGGGGCCTGGCACAGCTTCTCCCGTTGTCAGTTCAGAGATTCCCCCTTTGCCCCGAATTCTCCACCACTTGGGCTCATTTCTGGGAAGCACTCAGCATCATCTTCAGAGAAACCCAGTTCCCTGAATTGGGCCCACAGCCCACAAGCGTCTCCCCACAAAGGTCTGTGCTTAGCTCCTGGGGGCTCCCCGGGCCCCATGGTGAGGACCTGGGAGGATCTCATGCAGAAGTCTCCCTGGTGAGCTGGTTACCAGGAGGCCTAAGGAACAGTCTTCAGAGACCCAACTCGGCTTATCACGGTTGCTGATTCTTCGACTCCAAAGGCAAAACTCACGACCCCTTGTTCATTTCTCTCAGCTTTATAACTTTTCCTGGTATTTTCAACAGCTTCTCTCCCTCCTCAGAAAACTGTACAGGGGCTTGTTTTAAAACACTATTTGTGCATTTTAAAGCATCCAAAAAAACAGAAGAAGAAGCTGTGTTGTAAAAAGCTAACTAATCAGATGCCTGCTCACAATTTTTTCTTTTTATTATAGTTGAGGGAATTTTTGGAGCAACCCCAGAAAAATGCTGAATCGGCCTAAAATTCCTGTAAGGTTGTTTTCCCCCTCCCCTTCCCCATTTCCCTTAAAGCATAAAATCCACCCTTTAAAAGGAAGGCAGAGGAGGGTGTTGAGAAAGCTTTTCACCTTGTGCTTGCAGTCGCATTAGAGAAGACCACTCAACAAAGAGCTCCATGCCTCTTCTCACAAAGTTATTTAATTCCCCAGACCGTGAATGAACAGACCTGACCCTTCTAGAAGACCAGGGGCTTATGAATGAATCTCACGCCTGGGGTCTCGACGGCATAGATGACCAGACCTCGGGGCCAGATTTTAGGTAAGCAAGGAATTTTCTCCTTTAAAAAAAGTTTTATTTGAAAGTGCTTTAGATGAAGAAAAATGGAGGGAGGGAAGAGAGACCACGTCCAGTGCCTCGGCGGTACCATTTCTGGACCCGGCTCATGAAGGTGACCATGAGGCCAGAGAGGCAGCTAGAACTGATCCCAAAACACCCAGTGAGATTCTGAGAAGCAGGCATGCGTGAGAGAGGGGCCATGTGAACCTGCCTGTGCCCACACACAGAGGTGGTGCTGATGGCGGGGAGGAGGTCCTCGAGATTCTGGCCTTTACTGGGGAAACGAAGCCAGTACAGACAGAGCCAGAGCAGCTGGCACTCGGTGTATTAAATGCACCCAACTGCCAGGGTGCAAGGGGACTGGAGTACAAAGTGGACAGACGAGGAGAGGTCTTGACGCGCTCTCATCTCTGCGAGGCACTTGGGGTATAAAGGGATGTTACTCTGCCAAAATCTGACAGTGGGACGGGCCTGCGAGCCCCCTCCTCAGTGGTCCAGCAGAGCAGAAGGCTGGATAGAGAAGACAGGTCTCCCTAGGCAGAAATGGCAGCCTCCCACAGGAGGACGAGGGCAAATGAAGGGCACAAAAGTAGACCTAGAAGTTAAACCTGGCAACCCTGGAACGCAAACACTGCCATCATGCCTCGCCCACAGCAGGTCCAGGGTCCTCCCCTTCGTCAGGACTCTGGCGCCACCGAGGGTTGCCTCATCCCATCCTTCCCCTACATCAGACATCTCAAAGGTTAACAGCACCCATCAGCCCTGCTCCCCACCCCAGCCAGAAAACGGCTGTTCTGAGAGCAGCCAGCCCACTTCAGGGACAAAGGCTGAAATAAAAAGGGACCCTGTGTCAATACGTCCCCACCTAGTCTCATCCCAAATACTCACAATTATCAAGGACTCTTACTGGTCTCTTGTTTTCGAGAGGCAAATAACCAGAAAACTAAAGTCACCACATAAGAAACTTGCTAAGGTGTCTGGGTTCAGCTCGGATTCTGGGGTCAGCCCCTATCTGCCATGTTTCAACCTCATCAGGACAGGAAAGGACTCCCTCAGATTCCTAAAGCGGCAGACAACTCTGGGGTTTAGAGCAAGTTACCCATGGGGTCAAAACCAACTCAAAACATTTCGGGTTAACGTTCAGTTACCCAGAAAACCCGTCAGACCCTGTCCATCACCGCTGCGGCAAGCTCCTTCACCAAACGGATCAGG